GTCGAGTCCACAAGGTACAAAACCATGATGCCTTTCTTTCACTTCACTTCAGTAGTTTAAAGGTCCAAGTATATCCAGGAACCTTTGCGCGATTTTCTCGTTAACCAATCAGAAAGCACCTTTCATTCAACAAAAAATCATTTGTAAAGCGCAGTTTACACGAGCAATTTTTCCTTGACAAGTTTTCCTTGACAAGGAAAAATTGCTCGTGTAAATGGGATAAAATTGACAATTTTTCCTTGTCAAGGAAAAATTGCTCGTGTAAACGGCGCTTAAAACAAGAAACGATTGCAAAGGTTTTTGGATGCACGTGGGACTTAAAGTAAAAAGGGAACGTCGTTAGGATATTGTGCGGAGTTGTATAATGAATTTTTTGTTCAGGAACTGGCAAGAGAAGTTTGCGTTATCTGAACGAAGGAAACTTGAGGAAGCAGAAAATCTTAAGGTATTGACTATTTAAGAGAACGCTAAAAGCGTTGTCGTCGTCGTCGTTGCTGTTTTGGTCTGTTTGTTTGATTGTATTTTTCTTTTCTTTTACTTGATTTTGTACAGTTGCACGATCACTCTAGATAAGACAATAGAAGACAAAGAAATTCAAATAATTCAGTACAATTTAGCTCTAAAGCGTTTTTCATGGTTTTAGTGTTTGTATTCCATAAAATGATAATTTTTTCAAAACGTTTTTTCACCAATAAGGAGTAATGTTCAGTGGACCGTGAGAGTCAGAAAAGATTGAAGTCTACGTATTGTTATCCTTACTATTTCGCGAAGAAGGATCACTCGTGAATTTAGTCTTAAACAGCGTACTTACAGTATATTTTGTTGCTTTAACGAACAGAAAGCCGGCATTAGCTTCAAAGTGGACAACAAGCTTCCAAACCTTGTCAACCTCAACGAAGATCCTCAGTTGTCTGAAATGTTGCTGTACATTCTCAAACCAGGCAAGATAGGACTCTTTTCTTTAGTTTTGAAGTGTTTAGCATAGTTTTCTGGTCATCCTCGGACTTCCGAAAATGGCCGTTACAGCCAGGTAGCACCGCTCGGAACGGGTCTCATGATAGGTTGAGAAAACAATGGACAAACAATAGATAAGTCTTCGAACAATATAACAAAACCTAACCTAACAATAGTGGTGCTGTACTTAAGGAGCAATCAAAAAGCAGGTTTCAATTGGTACTGCATTACTGCCGTTTCAAGGGCCATGGTCAACCAGAATTCAATGCGGTCGTTTTTTAGATCTTTCATTATTAATTCGCAATCCTTTTCCATCTGTTGGTTTTAAGGTCGAATCCTACAATATCTCCATTCACGGAGCATAGTAAAGGGAATAATATAGAGTATGTTTTCTATATTACGATGTACTTTTAAAAATACTATGGAAGCTCGAAAGAGATGCCGGTTAACCATGGCCCTTAGTAAGTGGTCGACCCCTGGGGGGACTGTAAACACAGTGTAAACTAAGCTTTGGGGCGAATATAGTGCTCTCGTTCCTTCTTTTGTTAGTCGGTTGCTATGATTGCTTAGTTTATTGCGCATGTCTCTTAATGTGATTAACAGGAACAACAACAGTTGGTCACCAAGACAACCAAGACATTCAACTTAATGGTGCCCTGGTGGCAGAATCACATTGGTGAGTTTATGGTGATTTCTTTGTTTAAACGTATTTGACGTTACGTTCTTCCTCATCTTCACATGCCCTTTTAATGGATGAGTTGCCAGTAACCAGGCCCTCTCGTTATTACAATGCATTCTGGGTATGCCAAGGGGCAAACAACACGAAGCGAGTAAGATAAAGTATGGGGATTTTGTTGTCAGCGTGCTTTTACTTCATTTTATTGCTATTTAACCGAAAGTATTTTGGAAAATTCGATGATAGTGGACCCGAACAATGTCTGCCTTCTCTATCTTTCATTCCTTCCTCTCTTATTTCCTATAGCTGCTACCATTTTCCAAAGACTGGGTTTCCTGTTTTCTTATTTCATTTCTTGATATACCTTTTTTTCCTCTCCACTTATCACATTCCTAATTTTTCCTCGCCAATGAATTCCACTCTTGTTTCTATCTGTTAGTACTATTGCCTTGTCCTTCCTCAATACTCAATCTGTTTTTCCTTCCTCCCTTGATTTTGGTTTTGCTTGCTCATGCAAGCTTTTTATAATCAGCCTTTTTATTGTTTTTTTTTCTTTTGCTTCCTTCTCTCCCATTGTTTGCTTTGCCATTGTTTTATCATTCTTTGAATGTCTAAACACATGAGTTTTATTATTTTTTGCAGTATGATCAAGAATACAGGACTACAAGTCCAAGTTACGCCTTTAGGTAAGTCAAAGTCTTCATTTAATCCTTATGGTTGATATTTTTACTCTTTTTTGTGGGAATGAATGCTTGGTTTAACTGGCAGTTATTTATCACTGTAATCCTCATATAGGTAGATATTTGTTTCAATAAAGTTTTTAAACTTTAAAGATTAAAACAAGCCCTTCAGACTAAATACTAAATTCATTACTTAGATCTACTTACAACGGTTTATTGAAAACTTTGATCTACGGCAGTTTGAACTCTTTCATAGTTTACGAGGCAATGGTGTTCAAATATTCTCTTTTATACCATTTGGCGCAAACTATGTTATGTAGGAAGCTCCATCCAATTTTCGAGTGAATCAAATCTTATGGTGTCAATGCTGTGTCAAAATTCAGTACGGATTTGTTGTTAGGTTACGTTCATGAAGTGTTTCTGCTAATGAATGAAAATGTAATAAACATGCTGGGAATTTAAAACTAAAATTGAAAATTTTATTTCATAGCGGATGCACCAACGTACATTAATGGCCAACAGATATTGGAAGAATCAGAACTTCATCATGTAATTATGATAATTTCCTTTT